AAAAAAAAAAAAAAAAAAATAGTTAATATATGTAAGGCAATTAAAAACAATGGTTGGTATGTGTTGGGCAGTTAATAAATGTCAGCGATTATTTTTTAATATGGGGGAGTCAACCTGAATCTCTGCCTAGCCCACGACTCCACAGAGAAGGTGAAAGGGAGGCAGGGTGAGGGGTGTGGAGGAGCAGGCTCACCTGATTTTTGTGTCGTGCCACACGGCGCTGGAGGTAGCAGCGGCAGCCCAGGCCCTGCAGACCCTGGCGGCTGCAGCACGGTCCTTCAGGGACAGGTGGCGGAAGATGAGCGCCAGCAACTCCTCGGGCAGTCGCTCTCCAGGCTCGGCCATGGCCCAGATCCGGCTGGGGTGGGAGGATCCGCCACTCCCAACAGCTCTGGCCTGGAGAAAGAGGGACGTCTCTGGGCTCAGGAAGGCGCAAAGCGTTACAGGAAGATCAATCTTTGCTGTACAAATGCATGTGGCCTGAGGAACTGAGGCCCTCTCAGACAGCATGGGGCATCAGATAACCCTAACACTTGTTCACAAAGCAGATTTCACAGCCTCACCTACTAAATCAGGTTCTCCTGAAAGGGTAAGGCCCAGGAATCTGCATTTCAACAAGCCCCGGGTGACTCCACAGGTTCCACGTTGAGAAACTCCCCCCCCCTTTTGTTTTGAGACTGGGTCTCGATCTTTACCTAGGCTGGAGTGCAGTGGCGCACTGACAACTCACTGCACCCTCAGTCTCCCGGGCTCAAGCAATCCTCCCACCTCAGCCTCCCGAGTAGCTGGTACTACAGGGGCAAGCCAGCAGCCTGGCTAATTTTTGTAATTTTATTGCAGAGACGAGGTCTCGCTTTGTTGCCCAGACTGGCCATGAATTCCTGGGCTCAAGCGATCGGCTCGCCTCGGTCTCCCAAAGTGCTGGGATTACAGGCGTGAACCACCATGCCTGGCCTGAGAAACCCCATCTTAACACCGCGGGTTAGTAGCAAGTGAATGGACGGTTAATAAGGCGGGAGCATTAATGTAGACTTTTCTTTGTCCGGGACCGTGAGCCAATCAGGAAGCGGGGCGTGGGCGGGGCACAGTTGGATACGCCCGGAGAGGGGAGACTTTTTCCCCGCCTCTGCCTCACCGGCGTGTGTCCCGGGTGCTTCCTAAGACAGCCCCACAGGGTGAAAAGAAGCTTGGGGCTCTGGGACCTGACAGCTCTAGTGCCTGAGGGGCTCAAAGTTCAAGTTTCGACCCCTGAGCAGCCCTGGCTCCCGCGGGCAATTTGGTTCGGCTGGAACTCCGCAGACCCACCCCGGAGCGCGGCCTTTACCGGGGGATGGGGTTATCGGAACGTGTGCGTCCTCTTTGAAGTTGCCAATCTTGGTGTTTTGTTTTGAGATGGAGTCTAGCTCTGTCGCCCAGGCTGGGGTGAAGTGGCGCGATATCGGCTCACTGCAACCTGCGCCTCCCAGGTTCAAGCGATTTTTCTGCCTCAGCCTCTTGAGTAGCTGGGATTACAGGTGGGCGCCACCACGCCCTGCTAATTTTTGTATTTTTAGTAGACACGAGGTTTCACCATAATGGCCAGGCTGGTCTCGAACTCTTGACCTCGTGATCCGCCCGGCTTGGCCTCCCAGAGGTCTGGGATTACAGGCATGAGCCACCGCACCCAGCCCCCAATCTTGTTTTAAGGTTCCTGAAGGTTTGCATACACAAGGCTTCACACCAGTCGCCAGTTAGTGTCCCCATATCTTCCGGGCTAAGTTTCTCCCGGAATTTGTGGCACGTGTTTCCTGGGGCTTCAGATACGCTCTACCAGGCTTGTACCTGGGACCCATGAGCACCCCGTTTTCAGTGCCCAGTCGTAGCAGCTATCATGCAGCCGGATTCCCAGAGGCACCAGAAAATTCTGGTCTACAGAGGGCTCCCCGTTTCTACCAAAGTCTGGCAGCTCTCGCTCTTCTGAGCTCCCGGCCTTGTAAGAATCGCAGACCCCCAAAGTCCAGGTCTTCCTGCCGTCTAAACCTGGGCGCCGGTGTCTTACCTGCTCAGCGGACTAGATGGGCTTTGCACGGGGCGAGAGACTGACTTCAGAGGACAGCAGGCGGGAAGCAGCCACCGGGGCGGGACACGCGGGCGGACAGGGTGTCTAGGGCTGGAGCGCCGCCCCAGAGCCTCCGCGCACACCCGGAAGCGGCGCGAGTGGAGCGGAGCCTGGCGGGCGTGGGAACCCAGGCCCGGCCGAGGTGGCCAGGTTAGTGTAGAGGGTGGGTGCGTGGGTGGGCTCCCCAATGCGGGCGGGAGCGGAGGTGGATCCTGGCTCCGAAGCGTGGGCGCGGCGCAGATGTCACCAGCGGTTGCTCCAGCCAGCTGGTGGCGGCGGCCTATTGGGCTGTTCAAATGGGAGGCGGGGGGGCTGTATGGAATTTGGTCCCCGCAGGCTCTTTTTCCCTGACAGGGCTTTCAAGGGGCAGTAGGGCCCTGCGGGAGAGAGGGTGGGGGAGGAGGGCCTGGTTCTGAACACTTCCTTGAGCGGAGACCCCTCTGCCCACCCCAGCTAATCGCAAGTGCAAAACGCCAGCTTGAGGGTGGGCTAGTGGGAGCCTGGGAAGCTGCCCTCGAGCGCTCAGGAGCAGGGTAGCTGAGTAGGGAGTGTGCCTGGCGAGTCGCCAGGAGTCGCAGGCTTTCAGTTCTGGGCCACTCCCACAGGCGGTCCCGGTCCACCCAGCCAGAGGTGGGGCTTCTCCCAGTACTGTTAGGTGTTCAGGGGCACCGTGCTTGGCTTGCCCCTGGAAATAGGGGCAAACGTTGTTAGGTTGATACCCACGTGCCCCACAGTTTCCGCCCACCAAGATTTCTCAGGACCCAGCCTGGAAGCCTCAGCCCCGCCCAAAAAGGGACAACTACAGGTGGGTGGGGCGCGGGGATTCCCAAGAGGGGCTTCTGTGAAAGAACACGTAGGAGGAGCTGCCAATCAGCGGATGGCAAAACTAGGGCCCTGGCCTCTTTACCCTGTTAACTCGACCTCCAGCCTGGCTCACCTCCGCCATCTGTCTGGTAGTAGTGAGTGTGACGGAGCATCCCCCATCTCCAGGTTCCCAGAACTCCCCGCGTCCCCCCACATCCCCCCGCAGGCATGATGCGCAGACACTGGTCCCGTTGAATCCCCACTTCCACCCTTTGGGGTGGGACCACATCCATCTAGTCAACACTCCCACCTCAAGAGGCTAGGAAGACCTGAAAGGGAACGTTTCCAGGAGAGGTTCCCACTCTCTCCTACTTCCCAGCCCACTTTCCTAGGACTCTCCACCAGTCTCACCTCCGTGGCTGGCTCCGTGCCACGTGCTCCTGGACCCACTTGTCACTTGCAGGACTTCCCCTGTTTTTCTTGTTTTGCTTTCAAGGAAAACAAATTTATTTTGCTCTTTTACTACAAAGAAAATTTATCTCCTTCACATAAAGCAGGAAATATTGCTAAATACAAAGAAAATAAAAATCACCTACCACCCCCACCTACCTCCCTCTATCCTGCCCAGTGATAAACAAAATGCAAAGTTCCTGTTAATATCCAGGCTGTGGTTTTGAGTAAGTACACAAGTCTTAATGTTTTCTTTTTTTTCTTTTTTGAAACAGTCTTGCTCTGTCACCAAGGCTGGAGTGCAGTGACATGATCTAAGCTCACTGCAGCCTCTGCCTCCTGGGTTCAAGTGATTCTCCTGCCTCAGCCTCCCGACTAGCTGGGACTACAGGCATGTGCCACCACACTTAACTAATTTTTTGTATTTTTAGTAGAGAAGCGTTTTCACCTTGTTAGCCAGGAGGGTCTCCAAAAGTGCTGGGATTACAGGCTTAAGCTACCACACCTGGCCCAATGGCATGATCTTGACTCACTTCAACCTTCACTTCCCAGGTTCAAAGGATTCTCCTGCCTCAGCCTCCCAAGTAGCTGGGATTACAGGTGCCCACTACCACGCCTGGCTAATATTTTTGTATTTTTACTAGAGACAGGAGTTTCACTATGTTGGCCAGGCCTCCCAAAGTGCTGGGATTACAGGTGTGAGCCACTGGCCTAGCCAAGTATTAATGTTTTCTATGAAAAGATTAGGAGGCCAGGTGTGGTGCCTCACACCTGTAATGCCAGCACTTTGGGAGGCTGAGGTGAGCAGATCCCTTGAGCCCAGGAGTTTGAGACCAGCATAGGCAACATGGTGAAACTCCATCTCTACTAAAAATATAAAAACTAGGCCAGGCACAGTGGCTCACACCTGTAATCCCAGCACTTTGGGAGGCTGAGGCAGGCAGATCCTGAGGTCAGGAGTTCGAGACCAGCCTGACTAACATGGTGAAACCCAGTGGAAAGAAAGAAAGAAAGAGGGGGGGGGAGGGAGGAAGGAAGATAAAAGCTAGCCAGGCATGGTGGCATGTTCCTGAGGTCCCAGCTACTCGGAAGGCTGAGGTGAGAGGATTGCTTGAGTCGGGAAGGTCAAGGCTGCAGTGAGCTGTCATAGTGCCACTGCACTCCGGCCTGGGTGACAGGGCAAGACCCTGTTTCAAAAACAAGAAAATTAAAAAAACAAAGGTTGAGAATAGTGGCTCACTCCTGTAATCCCAGCACTTTAGGAGGCCAGGGTGGGAGGGTCACTTCCTGTTCCTCATGTAAATAGATGGCTGCTGGGGCCACCCCATTTGTCCTGCCCATGGCTAACACTCAGCAGTCCTCCCAGCCCACCATATATGAACCTTGACGACTGGAGTGCACAGGAGTGTGACTGATGAGGCAGGAGGTAGGGCCTTGAGCCCATGATACTAGGAAAAGGATGGGCAGGAAAAGAGTGGGGTGGGAAGAAAGAGGGAGGGCAGTTCCTTACTTGCTGTCTTATGGGGTAGTAACTGGGAGACCTCTGAGCTGTGGCTCAGTGCAGTGGTTCCCTGGCTGGTAATTTTGCGCCTGCTAGTCCGGGGCTAGGTTTTTGCCAGAAGATGGGTGAAGGAGATACCAGCACCAAGGGGCTCTGGCTTTTTCTGGACAGGGAGGGAATAGAACAATTTGTGTTGAAATGACTGGAGCCAAACTCCAAGCACTTTATAACAAAAAGGAATTATTTAGCTCACATAACTAAAAAGTCCAAATGCAATAGCTTCAGGGACAGCTGGATCCAGGAGCCTAGTATGGTTAGGAGTGCACTTCTCAATCTCTTGATTGTTTCTTTCTGTGTCAGCTTCACTCTCAGCCAGGCTCTTCTCAAGCAGTGGCAAAGAAGAGCTGCCCTTTCCTTCCAGTTCAGCCCCAAGGGAAGGGAAATTAGTGCCTCTTTCCTATTGGCTCATCCAGGGTTGTAGGGTTGATTCTTATTGGTCAAACTTTAGTCCTATACTCCGCCCTGAACTAATTACTGCAGAAATGTGAATGAAATATGAAGATTGGCCAGGTCTGGTACACAAGCCCGGCCTGGAGCTAGGGAGTGGGACACAGGCACAGGAATTGAGAAGAAGGAGAAGGGAAGTCCCTAAAGGTAAGACAGGCTTGGGGGAGGGAATCTGGGTAGATGCAAACTACAGGTGTCCTTTGAAGTGAAGACAGGAGGTTTAACCTTAAGGCTGAGGTTCTCCAGAGATACTGGGCTCAAGTCTATTCAGAAGGCAAGGCCAGGATATGGGCCTGGTTGGCTTTGGGGCATGGGCACCATCCAGAATGAAGGTGTCTCCTGTCCACTTCTATAAGAGAGACAGAGGCCTGAGGAGGAGGCAGAGAAGAGCTGCCTCTGCTCCCCCTCCACTGTGACTCTGGGTCCTTTCCCTGAGAAGGTAGTTGGGGGACAATCCTTTCTGCAAGTCTGGGGTGGGTGGGACTCTGTACAGAGCCAGGAGCTCAAGGGGCTGCCTGTGAGATGGTGAACTTCTGTCTCAAGTATGCCAACTAGTGTTGGGGACACCTGAATCTCATGGGACTTGAGGCTACTGTGGTGGGGACAGCTGAACCACCTGGGGCTGGACAGTTGTCTCCAGGACAGAGGGAGGGAGATGAACTGAATACCCAACTGTCTCCATCTCCAGGAGGTGAGATGGCAGCTGGGCAAAATGGGCACGAAGAGTGTGTGGGCAGCGCATACCTGTTTGTGGAGTCCTCGCTGGACAAGGTGGTCCTGTCGGATGCCTACGTGCACCCCCAGCAGAAGATGGCAGTGTACAGGGCTTTGCAGACTGCCTTGGCAGGTGCATGGGTGTGCTGGCATGTGGAGAGGAAAGAGTGGCCTGGGGCATTTTGTGGGAGGGGCTGAGGCTGCAGGTCCTCTACTTGGTGGGCCTGGGCTTAGCCACCTTTAGGGAAAAGATTTGGGGTGGGAGGAGGAAGATGGAGGACCCCTGGCTGTGTAGACTCTGTCCTCTCTGTTTGTGGCATGACCTTGAGGGTATATGTGCGTCCTCGAGTCAGTGTATGATTTACTTATTTGTGCACTAACGTCCTTTGCTCGATCCCCACCCCCTCCACCAGCCAGCTCACTCCTTTCTACTAATTGTGGATGCCTCTCTCCTCTTTTCCTCTCTTACTGCAGCACTCCTTGCTCAAGACTCCTCCCCAGTACCTACCCTTCCAGGCCCCGCTTTCCCATCTCAGGGCAGAGGCCACAGGAGGCTGAAGCGGGTTGGGGGATCTGTTCGTGGCCTCAGAGCGGCGAGAGCCCCTCTCTTCTTCCCGAGCAGTGGGAGCGGAGCTTGGTGGAGGCTGAAGACCCGAGACCTCCCGCCCTCCTCTGCCCTGCTGACCGCCTACCCAGAAGGCCTGGTCGCCCAGGGAACATGCTTCCTTTTCTGTGCTACGAAGTCACTCTCTTGCTAGTTCTTTTTTTTTTTTTTTTTTTGAGACAGAGTTTGACTCTTGTTACCCAGGCTGGAGTGCAATGGCACGATCTTGGCTCACCGCAACCTCCGCCTCCCGGGTTCAGGCAATTCTCCTGCCTCAGCCTCCTGAGTTGCTGGGATTACAGGCACGCGCCACCATGCCCAGCTAATGTTTTGTATTTTTAGTAGAGACGGGGTTTCACCATGTTGACCAGGATGGTCTCGATCTCTTGACCTCGTGATCCACCCGCCTCGGCCTCCCAAAGTGCTGGGATTACAGGCTTGAGCCACCGCGCCCGGCCATCTCTTGCTAGTTCTCATTTGGGACATGGGAGCTGGGGCTAGGTGGCACCCACTCTTGAGGTGCTCCCTGTGATAGGTCCTGGCCTTCTTTCTGGGTTGCTGCTGTTTGCATCCCAATTTGTGCTTCCTATCTGGGTACTCTGGAGTAACTGCACCCTAGGTCAGAGGATGGGACAGGGCTTGACCACAGGCCTCGCCCCTCCTCCGGCCGCTTGGAGAACGGCCGAGCTTGGGGACCGTCTGGCGCCTGACCGCCCAGCGCCTGACAGCCCGCCTCCGCAGAGAGCGGCGGGAGCCCGGACGTGCTGCAGATGCTGAAGATCCACCGCAGCGACCCACAGCTCATCGTGCAGTTGCGATTCTGCGGGCGCCAGCCCTGCAGCCGCTTCCTCCGCGCCTACCGCGAGGGGGCGCTACGCGCCGTGCTGCAGAGGAGCCTGGCGGCCGCGCTCTCCCAACACTCGCTATCGCTGCAACTGGAACTGCGCGCTGGCGCCGAGCGGCTGGACGCTTTGCTGGCGGACGAGGAGCGCTGTTTGAGTTGCATCCTAGCCCAGCAGGTGCGGCCGGGCTGGGGTCAGGATGGGGTAGGGCGGGGATCCGCGGCCAAGCCCCTGGTGACTGCAAGTTCCCTTTCCCTAGCCCGACCGGCTCCGGGACGAAGAACTGGCTGAGCTGGAGGATGCGCTCAGGAACCTGAAGTGCGGCTCGGGGGCCCAGGGTGGCGACGGGGAGGTCTCTTTGGCCCCCTCGCAGCTCCCCGTGCCCTCTCTGTCGGAGGTGAAGCCGCGGCCGCCGCCAACGCCTGCCCAGACTTTTATGTTCCAGGGTCAGCCTGTAGGTGAGGTGCAGGCGGAGAGGCAGGGTCACCAGGAGGTTGGAGTCTGGGGAGCAGCAGGGTCGTCGCCGGGTGGGGATGGGTGGGATCAGCGCTGGGCGCCCCCCCCTCACCCCGCTTCCTCGCTCCCTCTGCAGTGAACCGGCCGCTGAGCCTGCAGGACCAACAGACGTTTGCGCGTTCCGTGGGCCTCAAATGGCGCAAGGTGGGGCGCTCGCTGCAGCGGGGCTGCAGAGCGCTGCGGGACCCGGCGCTGGACTCGCTGGCCTACGAGTACGAGCGCGAGGGGTTGTATGAGCAGGCCTTCCAGCTGCTGCGGCGCTTCGTGCAGGCCGAGGGCCGCCGCGCCACTCTGCAGCGCCTGGTGGAGGCACTTGAGGAGAACGAGCTCACCAGCCTGGCAGAGGACTTGCTGGGCCTGACTGATCCCAATGGCAGCCTGGCCTAGACCAGGGGTGCATCCAGCTTTTGGATAACCTGGATGGCCCCAGGGTTCCTTCTGCTGCTATTGCTGAACCCTTGTCCATCCACGGGACCCTGTGACCCCACCTGGCCTATCTGCTGGACTTGCTGAGGCAGAGTTGACTGCCTTCCCCAGGAGCCAGACCGGCACCCACCGAGCCCGCTGGGGGTGCACCACTGGGGATTCTGCCTCAGGTACTTTGATAGAGTGTGTGGGGGACCTGCTTTGGAGATCAGCCTCAACCTTCCCCCACCCCAGAAGTGGGACTTACAGCCAGCCCTTACAGTTTCACTTATGAAGCACCTTGACCTTCAGTGTCCTGGACTTCATCCTGGGTGTTGCAGATACTGCAGTGAAGTAAAACATGAGTCAGTCTTGCCTGCCCCCAGCTCACACTCAGCATGGGACCCCGAATGTAAAGCAATGATAAAGTGTAGCATGGTTTTTGATGTAAGAAATACAAGTAGTAGTGGCTTACACCTGTAATCCCAACAATTTGGGAGGCAGAGGCAGGAGGACTGGTTGAGCTCAGGAGTTTGAGACCAACTTGGGTAGTCCCAGCCACTTAGGAGGCAGAGGTGGGATGATCTATGGAGCATGGAAAGTTGAGGCTGCAGTGAGATGTGATTGAGCCACTGCACTCCAGCCCGGGCCACAGAGTGAGACCCTGTCTCAAAAAAGAGAGAAGTTGTGGAGGATGGAGGAAGGGGCCTAACCTGAGTGGGGAACAGGGAGTAAGCTTTCTGGAGGAGATCAGTGTTGAGCAGGCATGGGGATGGGGTATCTAGAGAAGGGCAGTGTTCCGGGAACCTGCAGCCTCAGGCAAGGGCTTGAGAAAGGGGAGAGAGAGGGACATTAGAAGGACAGTTAAAAGTGGGTGGATCTGGCTGGGTGTGGTGGGTCACGCCTGTAATCCCAGTATTTTGGGAGGCCAAGGTGGGCAGATCACAAGGTCAGGAGATTGAGACCATCCTGGCTAACATGGTGAACCCCGTCTCTAGTAAAAATACAAAGATTAGCTGGGCGTGGTGGCACTCACCTATAGTCCCAGCTACTTGGGAGGCTGAGGCAGGAGAATCACTTGAATCCGGGAGGTTGAGGTTGTCGTGAGCCGAGATTACACCATTGCACTCCAGCATGGGAGACAAGAGTGAAACACTGTCTCTAAATAAATAAGTAAATAAAAATAAAAACAAAATAAATAAATACAATAATTAGTTAGACATGGTGGTATGCACCTGTAATCCCAGCTACTTGGGTGGCTGAGGCAGGAGAATCACTTGAATCCAGGAAGTGGAGGTTGCAGTGAGCCAAGATCGCACCATTGCACTCCAGCCTGGGCAACAGAGCGAGACTCTGACTCAAAATAAAATAAAATTTAAAAAGTGGCGGATCTGTGGGTTGGTGGACTTGCTGAGACCTGGAGCTGAGGCTGATCATGTGGCGAGAAACCTTTGAAGGGTTTTGGGAGTTAAGTCTGGGAGGCTGGAGGCTTATTTATGTATTTTTTTAATTTATTGATGTTTTTGAGACAGAGCTTTGCTCTTGTCACCCAGACTGGAGTGTAATGGCGCAATGTCAGCTCACTGCAACCTCTGTCTCCCAGGTTCAGGCAATTCTCCTGTCTCAGCCTCCCAAGTAGCTGGGATTACAGGCGCCTGCCACCATGCCCAGCAAATTTTGTATTTTTAGTAGAGACAAGGTTTCACCATGTTAGTCAGGCTGGTCTCCAACTCCTGACTTCAGATCATCCACCCACCTCAGTCTCCCAAAGTGCTGGGATTATAGGCATGAGCCCCGCGCCTGGCCAAGACTGGGGGGTTGATGAGGATGGGGTTGAGGAAAATGGTGGCCCCAGTCTGGGCAGTAGCAGTAGAGGTGGAGGGAAGGGGATGACCACCAAGAGCTGTGTGGGTGGAAGAGTAACAGGCCTGGTGACACTGAGTGAGGAATGGGCTGAGAGTGGGCCCTAAGTTTCTGCCTTTGCCAGTTGAATGGTGAGTTGGACTGCCTGCTGGGATGGGAACTCCAGGGGAAGTTAAGGCTTGCTCTATTTGGGAAAAGTTGGACATGATGTTCTTGCAGGGCATCCATGGAGAGAATGTGAGGACAGCTGGGTCTGTAGTTCTGAGCTCAGGACAAAGGTCCAATCTAAAGACTGATGAATAGACAGGTGGGAGTGGGTGGGGTGGCCCCAGGTGATGTCCTGAAGGACACCAACCAGAAAGGCAACACCCAAAGAGGAAGGAGGAAAACCAGAAGATTTGAAAGCCAGGGGATTACCCACCTGCTATAATGGAGGCTGCCGATCAGTCAAGACTGAGGAGCATCTGTTGGACTCAGTTATAAGGAGCTTACTAGGCAGGGGTCCTTCTGAGTTATGGTGGGGGCAGCCAGAAGCTGTATCACAGGAGGGAATGAGAGGTAAAGCCGCAGAGAGAGCTGGAGCAGAGGACTCTTGATTACTTTGTGACCAGAAAGAGTGAGGTTCAGGGTGGAGAGTTGGATTGTTGTTGCTTGCCAGATTGGAATGCAGTGGCCAGATCTCGATCTGGGCTCATTGCAGCTTTCATCTCCCAGGTTCAAGTGATTTTCCTGCCTCAGCCTCCCAAATAGCTGGAATTCCAGGCATGCGCCACCACACCCAGCTAATTTTTGTATTTTTAGTACAGACAGGGTTTCACCATGTTGGCCAGGCTGGTCTTGGACTTCTGGCCTCAAATGATCCGCCCACCTCGGCCTCCCAAAGTGTCGGGATTACAGGTATAAGCCACCACGACTGGCCTTTTTTTTTTT